CTTTAAATACACATTTGATTTAATTATGCCATTAATGGTTACTTTATTTAACAGACTTTTTGCTAAAGGGGAATTTCCAGATTCATGGAGTACCGCTATTATCATACCATTGCACAAAAAGGGTAATCGTAATGATCCAGCGAATTATCGCGGAATCTCTTTGCTTAACATTTTTAGTAAGATATACACATCCATTTTAAATAGACGACTATCTTTTTATGCCAATGTTTTTAATAAAAATAGACGAATGCCAATCTGGATTTAGAGCTGGTTATAGTACAACAGATAATGCATTTGTTCTGCAATCACTTATTTCTAAGGCACTTTCAAAGAAAAGGGGCAAATTATATGTTGCATTCGTTGATTTCAAAACAGCATTTGATTCTGTCAATCGTAACAAGCTTTGGCAAATACTTTACAATGCTAATATAAGGGGAAATCTTTTAAATTCTATTATTGCTATGTATAATAATGTAAAAGCATGTGTACGTTCTAACGGTCAAATCTCAGATTATTTTAATTGCCCGATGGGCCTCAAGCAGGGATGTTTGGCTTCGCCGAAATTGTTCTCATTTTTTATAAATGAATTATCAGTTATGATGAACAATGACGATAAAATTAAAGGTATACAGATAATGCCAAATGAAATTTCAATATGGCTGCTAATGTTTGCGGATGACGTAGCCTTGATTGCACAAACAATTAGAGATTTACAATATCAACTTAATGTATTAGAAACGTTTTGCAAGTCTAGTTGTTTGCAAGTAAATATATCAAAAACAAAAGTCATGGTTTTTAAAAAGGGCAGTCGATTAGCGCGTAATGAATGTTTTTATTATAATAATCAGCAACTTGAAATAGTTAATTCTTTTACCTATGTTGGAGTAACATTTACATCCACTATGTCGTTAAATATTATGAGCAATGAACTTGCAATGAAAGCTAAACGAGTATTATTTTCTTTACTTTCTTCTTTGTATGATTATGGACAATTGCCTTCAAACATATTTTTTAAATTATTTGATACCAAAATATTACCGATCCTTCTGTATGGATCCGAATTATGGGGTTTTAAACCCCGTGAAAATTGTGAGCTTATTCATCGTTTAGCTTGTAAACGATTTTTATGCGTAAATAGAACATCTAGTAATAATGTAGTATTAGGCGACTGTGGTCGTTATCCAATTTATGTAGAATCTGCCATGCGTTGCATAAAGTACTGGTTCAAATTATTGAAATTACCTAATGACAGATATGTAAAAATTTGTTTAAAAGAATGCTTTCAAGTACAACATGTGCTAAATATTTTAAATGGGCAAATTGTAATTATTTTATGTAATCATTGGTTTTGGCAAGTTTGGTTGAACCAATGCGTTCAAAATGAAATATTTTTCCCAATTTGTTTTGTCAAAGACTTAAAGATAATTTTTATTTGCAGGGATGGTATAGCAAGTTAGATTCTAGTGAATGTCTGTCATTGTATAATCGTATTAATATCAATTATGACCTGGAAACTTATATATCTATCTTAAATATCAGGAAATTCAGACATTGCTACGCTCAATTACGTTCAGGTCTTTCACATTTAGAAGTGACTAAAAAGTCATATAGAAAAATTAACACGAATGATTGGAATTGTAAAGTATGTTCCTTAGGATTATTTGAAAATGAATTTCACTTTCTACTAATCTGTCCTGTATACGCAGATTTAAGAGCAAACTATATTGCTAAGAAATATTATACTTGTGCAACAGAGCACAAATTGAATATATTATTATCGTGTAAAAATGAAAATGTTATAAAAAGTCTTGCCAATTATGTTTATCATGCAACAATTCGAAAAAAGATGATTATGCAGTTTTGATTTAGATACGTCTATATTTTATCATTAACAATGTAATTTGTGTGAATTGTTATAATGTATTGATGAGTGTATCCACATAACTTTGTATCTTTTTAATGTTACAATTGTATATGTTATGGGCTGGTGGCCTAAATCAATAAATTCTGTTCTGTTCTGTTCTGTTCTGTAATTAGCTTTGTTGCATATTTTGTTATAGTTTATTTCTACTTTGACAATTTTATACTCAATTTTTGTCCAGATCAGTGTAATTTAAAGTGTTGGAAGTATCAACATGTAACTTCATAAAAAATACCCTTAGATAACAAATTATGGAGCACAGGGTTATTTAAGCAAAGTATGAGAAATTCATTTATGAATAGGTAGAAGAAAAAGAAGATATGACTACAAGTATTAGTGAAGTAAAAAAAAATATTGTGATTTGTGAACATTATTTTAAAAACATAAAGAAAAAATGATGTTTAATTTCTAACAGAATTGCATAAATGTGATGTCACGTCTAAGCTTTAAGAAATACTAAATTTATTTTTGATCTCTAACAACTATTTTTATAAGGGAGAGATCGTGGTTATGCTTTATGTTACTTAGGTCTAAAATGCTGTATATATTTCCTAGCAATTAATTATTTCCTTGTTTATACCTTCAAACATATAAGTCTAAAATGCTGTTTATATTTCCTAGCAATTCACAATTTTCTTTGTTTATATCTTCAAACAGATCTGTAGAAACAACATTGATATATTTCTGGTGAAATATTTTGTAGGGAAAAGTAAATAATCATAAAACAGAGATAAAATGTTTATACATGCTAGTCATACAGATTTATACAGAAGATATTTTAAACAAGATTGCCAGTATTTAAACATGTCTGTGTGGCTAAATTTTCAAAGTCTGAGACTTGGAATGTATATATTGAGATAAGGCAAAATAAAGAAAATTATTTGGTTCCCTGATCATCGTAGGTTTAGGAAACATTCTCTTAAAGATTTCTCAGGACTGGTGTGCATTAGAATTTGACGGATTAAAAATGTGAATTTTTGTCTATTGATTTTTAGCACAGTAGCCATAATTATAAGCTTCTTAACATTGTCTGAATATGTATGAGGAATAATATTTTGATATAAAAATATTAAAGTTAATAATTCATGATTTATGAAGTTAAAGTTGTCAAAGTCTGAGATAAGTTATTTAAATGTCTTTGAGTACTTCTTAGACTAATGCTAAGCTGTATATATACCCAGATGCTGTGTTATTAAATTATAATACTGAGTAGGGCTAAATTACAGTCAATTAAAGAATTTTTAGTCTAATATACCAAAGACAAACATTTTCGCCCCTACACCCTAGCTTAAATTAAAATGAAATCATTTGTGTCTTGACCATTATCATGCAGGAAATATTTTACTAATTTCATATCGGAAATGATAATTTTGTGGTATGATTATAAGATGGTGATATTTGAAGTGGTTAGTTAGTATACAAATTCCTACACTTCCTGTAAGATACTAATTCAGAACCTAAGGAATTAAAATAAGAAGTGGAATAAATTATATTTTACTTATCTTTAAAAAAATATTATATAACATAAAACTGACAAATGATTTGTGACTTTTGATGATTTAAAGAAATATAGAAGTAATTATTATTATTTTCATTGTGCTTCATTCTACAATATGAGGTTTTGCATGCAGTTCATCAAAATCTTAACAGAGCTCTATTTTATCTATTTTTTTTCAAAAAAAAAAAAAAAAAAAAAAAGAGAGAGAAAAAGTTTAAGTTTAGTAGATCTTTATGCTAAGGTAACAGATAATTTGTGTCTGTAGATATCTGACTGGCAGACAGCTGAAAGTAGTGCCTGGTGTAGGAATATATTATGAAGCTGATGTTTAATGATGTACAAATGCTTTGTTGATATTGTTGCCAAACATTTCAGTAATCAAGACTTAGGCTATGGATAATTTATAATGTACATTTGTTTTATGTTGTTTAGGCCAAGGATAATATAAACTTTACTTTTGTTTCCTGTCTTCTTAATCTTATAGGTTATACATTTGTTTTATGTTGTTTAGGCCAAGGATAATATAAACTGTATGTTTGTTTCCTGTCTTCTTAATCTTATAGGTTATACATTTGTTTTATGTCTGCTTTAGGCCCAAGGATAATAAATAATGTATATATGCTTGTTTCATGTCTGTTAGGTAAATTTAAATGCCAAAAAATTGGAAACTATAAGAAAATGCCAAATGGTTAATGTTATGGAAATGAGATATTTTGTTTCCGTAACTAATTTGCTTTTATTTGTATGGAATTCCATTAATGCTTTATCAGAGTATGGTTGCCAAAAATTTAATTTTTTTGTACCTATATACATTCTTTATTTTTGTGTAAATATTTATCATGTCCTTCCAATAATTTGAAATCAAAGAGTGTTTATATTTTCCATGCATATCAAAGACCTTAAAGGCCCATATAAAGCCTGAATTCACAACATTTGCTTCCATTGACATTTTTAAAGGAAGATTTATTATTTTTGGTGAAAATTTTCAAAATATTGTAACAAATTTGAAAAGTTTAAAGCCATTTCAAGTTTTATGTCAAATTAAGCTTAAATAAAGTCTTTCGACATCAGGAAGAGTTCTGTGAAATTCAGGATAATGTGTAACGGATAATCCTAATCCTATACCTTGGCAAAATTTGCATAATATTTTAATTATATCATTATATATTAGAGATTTAAAGCATGGCATTCAAACATTTATTTATACTGAATAATTATTAAGTCTATCCTACATATGCCCCTAGGTGTTGGACTGTCAGCACAACACTTTGGGTTAAAATTTTGCATACAGCAGCATATCTCATCAGACAACCACCAATCATAATTGTTTGTTATTTCACAAATTTATTTGAGACCCTTTCTGAAATTCTTGATTAAAGTTTTTCACGTGAAATTGTGGGGTACTACCACCTGAACTTGTGGGGTGTAGTACAAGCTCACTACACTTTCTGAGTAAAAATGGGGCCATAATTATGTCAAAAACCTTGACAATACAATTGTCATTGGGATAAATGTAGGTCAATATCTTTGTCATGTACGTTATTGGTATTACTTTAAATATATTTTTATTTTATATTTCAGAATGGGTCTGTTTGACGACACAGTGCCTTTTAAAGGTCAGAAGTACAAGGACCTGAAAAGTAACTGTATAAAAAAGGGCGTGTTATTTACTGACCCTGTGTTTCCGCCCAGTGGGAGGTCACTGTACTACAGCAGGGGTGCACCATCGGACATTATATGGAAAAGACCTGGGGTAATTGATTCTAAAGATTTATTTTAACACAGTATGAGCAAATTTTTCAAATCATATTGTATTAAATTGGAAAGAAAAAAACTGACAGGTGTCACCTCTATTGTCTAGTCGGTAATTTAAGTAGCTAACTAAGATTCCCTCGCTTTGAATTTAGCCATAGGTATTATCTTAATATATTGCTGGAAAACTGAAAAACCCAACATATTTATACAAATTTAACGTTTGAATTTAACTAAAATATATAAATTCAACACAGATAGACAAGTTTAGAACATTATAAACAACATAATTGAGCTTTGCCATGACAAAACCAACATAATGGATATGCGACCAGCATGGATCCAGACCAGCCTGCGCATCCGGGAAGTCTGATCAGGATACATGCTGTTCGCTTACAAACCGTATAACAAGTAGAGAAACTGATAGCGGATGCGCAGACTGGTCTGGATCCATGCTGGTCGCAAACCCATTATGTTTGTTTTGTCATGGCAAGGCTCAATTATATACTAAGCACTGCAATATGAGTCAGAATTTCAGTAAATGATAACCAGTACAATTTGTTCAAGTTCCTTTAATTCTGTCTTCGGTCCCTGGAGCTATTCAAGCCAACACCTTTGTTATTAATTTTATAAGATCTTTGGTTGAGTACTACATTAATTACTTTAGGCATTTTTTCTACCCTGAAGTGGGAATGTCTACAGCTGAATGACAGGTAGCAGAGAGTGAGTTGAAGGTTAGGGTATGGACAGGTGGCTCTGGTCAAGATCTCAGATTAGATCAATTACTGATATGCCCATGATTGTACTGTGTATAGACATGCTTTTTTGGAAAACTTTTTTTTAGGAAAGGAAACTATAAGGTACATCTAAAAAATACATACAAAAAGTGTTTATTTCCAAAAATCTCATCTTAATCTTAAAACTGTTAAAATCTTATTTACATGAAGTAGATTATCTTTTTTCTTTCAAGGGAGATTACTATTGATGCTACTTCATATGTGTTATATCCTTTAGGATCTTTCCAATACCATGCTTGTACTCTGAAGATGACCAAAATCTCTCAAAAATATTAGGCGGTTTCAGCTGAAAATTCTTATTAAATTTTAAATGTGAAATAAGACTTTTAAAGGCACATAAGTGATGTACATTACAGTCTGTACACATTATTAAGTGGTGTACACAATTAATTATGTTGCAACTTGTAAATTTTTTGTACTTTAATAATGTACAAAACTGTAATGTTTTAATGTTTCTATTAGATTGCATGTGTCTGGTTTAAGCATTATAAACAAAACAAATATTTGCAGGCATGATAGTTATTTACAAATGCACAGACATATAGCAAAGAAGTGTCTAAATAAGCAATTCAATACTGTTGGATAATTACTGCTTTACCCCCCCTCCCCTCTGTTGTATTTTGGTAGAGAACAGATCTTAAAAATTATTCTTTCATTGATCATTCAATCTTTAGGGTTTTTTATACGCATGTTTACTTCAATTAAAAACAGCTCATTTTTGAGTAGCTTAAGCTGCATGCCTCCAGACGAGCAGAAATAGTTCATGAATGTCAAGCTTGAGAATAATATGTTCTAAAATTTTAATTAAAGCATTCTTTAATAAGATTTCAAGAAACGTAAAAAGGATTCAAGTAATAATTTACTTGTTATGTGTGATTTAAATTACTGTATAATAGTGGTAATTTAAACACCATATCATTTTAACTACGTGACTATAATATGATAAGTAAGAGCTTAGATTTTTGCATATTTCGACTTCTTTTTTTGAAATTTATGTTGATTGCGTTGCTGAAATTAGAATGCCGTTTACAATGCCTACATTACATTCTTTGTTCACTTCTACATGTACTTTAAAATATATTTTCAAAATTTAATGAAAATTAGCATGAATCTGGAGGCATGCTGCTTTAAATTATAATTGTACAGTCATGTAAAATGCACATCAAAGTTTCACACAATTAGATATCACTATTAACTTTGTTATAGTCAATATGACTTTCCTAAAATAAGATTTCACTATGTCTGCTAAAAATTATGCCATAAATTTTATATAATGGTGGCTGCCAAGATTTTAATAGGAATTAATCATCCTTCATGACAAGTTCTGTAGTTTTATTACATTTCTCATAATTAAGTACCAATTTATCTCCCCTTCAAAGCTGTTTAAGCTGTCTATCTACTATAAATAAACCACATAATTTAATTACCTACTTGCTGATGAGAATTATTTTAAGACTATAGCAGTTATTAATGATTTATTTTTTAACTTTTCAGGAAATAACAACAAACCCAAAGTTCTTCGAGGCAGGAGTAAGTTCAGATGACTTTTCGCAAGGTTCGTTGGGTAACTGTTGGTTTGTTGCTGCCTGTGCCTGCCTGGCTGACTCAAGACTGTGGAAAAAGGTAGGAAGTCAACCCTGAGATAAAGACCACTTGTTAATAAAAGCCATATTTTACTTTATCTTACACTTTCAAGAAAAAAGACCATATCGTACATGCTTGTCTTTAAAGACCATCAGACTTCATCAATTGTTTGTTTTATGATTGTTTGACCTTGCCCTTGTTTGAGAGACCATTTGCCAGTTATCCCTGTGGTGGTGGTGTTGGTAGTTTACCCACTGAATCTTGCCACTTGAATCTCTGAATCCACCAGAGCGCAGTAAAGTCCCTGCATCATTCATGGGCAGGCTGTCAAGCAGTTAAACCATATTTGCTTCACTTTTGCAAGAAACTAATAACTCCTGTACATATATCAGAGCAGAGGAACAGTGCAAATGACTGGAAGGATTTAATGATTAGTCACATGGAAAGTGACCTGCACTGTCAGGGAATCGAACCAAGGTCACAAGGCTCACAGTCCAATGCTCTACCTATTAAGCTTTATCAGGACAGCTTGTCTGCAAATTTTATGTCTTAAAATGTGAGAAAACATTGAGAAGCTGGCAGCTTACAAAAAAAGAAGGTGTTTGTGTGATTTGTACAGTTTTTTCTTTTCACCTTAATGGTGTTTTAGAAACATTTTAGTGTGTATATACATGTTTATAAAGTAGTGAAAGTTTCTCTGCATTTTATCCTTAACTACCTGAATTTCTTAAATGGACATGCCCAGTTTTCATGTTTAAATGGGACTGTCTGTTATCAATTTTGGGGATAACAAGATGACAATTTTATTGCCAACAGTATATAACCTGGTCAGACTCGTACAGCAGCACTGATGTGCATTGCTGGCCTGGTTCTGTACTGGTGGCAAAGGTTAATAACTTTTATGTTCCATCATGAAAGTCTGGTTAAGGGTTGCTATTATGTTTCATGTATAATACAAGTATAATTTCGCTTACATGTCTGTGAAATTGGAAGAATATTTACTAACTTGTTGATGAAAATACCATATCATACATGATAGGACTTTTTAGATTTGAAATTTTTTATATTTCTGTGAAAGCCAACATAGTATTTGCCCAAAATTATTGCACAACCATAAAAATAGCAACAGAATACTTTGTTATAGATCATTTTTAGCTCGTCTCAGTTTAGGGGGAAAATATTTCAGATACATGCCTGAATAAATCTTGTAAGGGAAGCGATGGTCTAGTGGTTAAGGTGTCTGCCTCTAAACCCAGTAATTGTGAGTTTGATCCCTAATAGGGTCACGAACATGTTTCTTCATATGACACCAGTACTGGTTGGTTCCAGGAAGTGGATTCGAAAGAGGTATGCAAGAACTTCGCAATCTAGCTTAAAAAAATATGTTTAAACCAAATCTTGTATCAAAATTTGTCTTTGAAATAGTTATAATACTATCTTATTGTAAAGATAATTAACCATGTTATTCTTTATTTAGATTGTGCCTGATTATGAAGAACAAGAATGGAGTGAAAAGAATAAGTATGCAGGAATATTTCACTTTAAGTTTTGGCGATGTGGGCAGTGGGTGGATGTAGTTATTGACGATTATCTACCTACAAGACATGGTCGTCTTATCTTTGTCCATTCCAATTCAGGCAACGAGTTTTGGTCAGCTCTTCTAGAGAAAGCTTATGCCAAGTAAGTGAGCATGACATAAATAAATCATGTAGATGTGAAAATTAAGATCTTTCCCGTATACATTATAAATAACAGATGGATTAAATTTAAATGCCTCTCTTTTCAACAGTAAAATTCACCCATCAATGTAATACATTTGACCTACTTACACTTTACCTATTCAAATTATAAATCATATTGATGGTCTAAATTAAGCAAGCAGCCTAATATGATATGTCATCATAATCAGAATTGTTCTTGCTTGGAAGTTAACCTTTAAGCTTCTTAATTTGTGTAATAGATTTATCTTGCTTTGAATTTGTGACTGTTTATTTGAAGTTTGTGTGATTTACAAAAATTGAGCTACAGTTACAGTATAAAACGTGGCCAGACTGCACAGACATGAAAGTTGGCCAGGTTTTAGTCCTATTCCTTTCTGTTCTTGCAGATTTAAGGGTTAATGATAAGAGATAGAGTGATGAGGTGGCCAATGCTAAGTGGTTATGGTTGCTAACTTCAAATCACTAGCCTCTTACTGCAGTAGGTTCAGGGACACTGGATATTTTCATGCCGTTGTAGTAAACCATTCTATTAGAAGAATATGCCCTGGAATAATGAAGTTATATTCAATAACAATTCCTAACAAAATTTCCTCTTATAGATTGGCTGGTGATTATGAATCCCTGGTTGCAGGAAATGCAAAGGATGCTCTTGTTGACATGACAGGCGGAGTCGGGGAACGTGTAGCTATGGAGGACTACACCACACCAGAGAAACAGAAAGATTTATTTAGAATTCTAAAACATTCCAAGGAGAATCATTCTCTCATGAGTGCATCTATTGTGGTATGTGCCAGCAATTTTTTGCATTTTTTCTTTTGCATTTCATTCTCTTTTAGCTCACCTGTCACATTTTCCCTTAGCAATAGCAACCAGTAATGTTTTTACACATGCACTATTTCAGATACAAATATGAACTTTGTGATACCTGTTTAAGACTGTTTTTGTTTATAGTTTACAATTTTTCCTGTTTCTTGTCATGGAGAGCTTTTATATACAGGTGAGCGATTTCAGGGCCATTATGGCCCTCTTATTTTTTTTAAGCCAGGGTCCAAGGTTATAAAGAAATTCTCTAAGCTCAAACTCAGATCTCAGGAATTTGATTGGTCAGACACTGCCACAGAATGTACATTGACCAATGAAAATCCAGAGATTCAAAATAGAGAAAAATTCTATAACCTTGTGGCTATAAGTTACTGAGAAATGAAAGCAATATTGAGGTTTTTGATTGTAAAATTTTCACATTTTTATCATTCCACATGTATTTTGTCTTGAAAGTCCTGACAATTGAGAGTTTCAATATTGAGTTTTGTACATATGGAGTTGCTGTTTAGTTGTGTTTTGCAACCTTTATGCAATTTTTCACTCATTTACCAGTGCTCATGAGCTGTATAATGAGTGTTCATAAAATTTTGTACAATTTCTCAATGTAAATCTCTTTCAACAGCATTATAATGTTGCTGAAAATTTAATGTTTTTCAAGATCATTTAAACATCTGTTTGCCTGGCAATGACTATTCTTAAAGGATTTCAACAAATTACATGTACATGTATTGGCAGAAAACCTGGTTTTGTGAGAATTTCTTTGACTTGCTGATTAATAATTCACATTTTAGATTTATAACCATATTTCCATTTGAAGATTCTTTTCTCACACTGTTACAGGCTACAGCCAATGATATGGAGGCGGAACTATCATGCGGTCTTGTCAAAGGCCACGCCTACAGTGTCACAGCTGTCAAGAAAATCAAGTTGGGGACTGGACTGTTTTCCATATTTGCACGAGATTACTTACAGATGGTTCGATGCCGCAACCCATGGGGTGGTACTGAATGGAAAGGAGCTTGGAGTGATGGGTATACCTTCCTGTTTTAAAGTTGAAGCATGTAAAGAATGAAGCTCATGGACTGAACATGCATATTAACCTTTACACATGTGTATTTGTGTAACTGGCTTTGGTCTGAGGTTATAAAGATATTCTCTAGGCTTCTTTAAGCTCCAGTTTGCAAATACACTCGGCAATGGCATATTAAATATCACTGAACTTTTTTTAGAACCCTTTTGATTACTTTGCAGTTAAATGCTGTTGTGACACCCTTGTGTACTAGCTAATTTGATATAAGAATTGGTTAAAATCCTATATATCTGTAAAGAAATTTAAATGCTGAATTGAAATTAATTGACACTTTACTGGTGAAGTTTTTTTAGGATCATCTATTATTAGAATCTTGTCATTGACTTGAAACATGTAGATGAAGTACCACAAAAAGAAAGAAAAATTGAATAAATAGAGATATTTTGGTATTTCCTTATATCTTATTTTCTAAATTAATTAACAATTATCTGTTGTAAATATGTTATGTGTTCCCTATTAGGGCATACATGATGAATTAATGTCTATATTTAGGGCATACATGATAATGTAAAGTCTATATTTACGTCATACATGATGATTTAATGTCTATATTTAGGGCATACATGATGATGTAATATTTATATTTAGGGCATACATGATGATGTAATGTCTATATTTAGGTCATACATGATGATGTAATGCCTATATTTAGGGCATACATGATGATGTAATGTCTATATTTAGGTCATACATGATGATTTAATGTCTATATTTAGGGCATACATGATGATGTAATGTCTATATTTAGGGCATACATGATGATGTAATGTCTATATTTAGGTCATCCATGATGATGTAATATTTATATTTAGTGCATACATGATCATGTAATGTCTATATTTAGGTCAGCAGAATGGAAGAAAGTTAGTGACAGTCAGAAGAAAGACCTTGGCCTGACATTTGATGACAATGGAGAGTTTTGGTATAATTATTTTCTATACAAGAATATTTAAGTCATTTATTCTTACTTTTCACCAGGAATGATTAACTAGTAAAATGGACACAACCTGTTTGAACCTAATTAGACCTGATAATAGTTAGTTTAATGGATTTCAGTATCAAAATAGTAAGATAATGTGACCAATAAAGTGTATAGAGTCTTGTTATTTAACTACATAGATGTGGAGAATGGCTGGAATTTTCAACACAAGCGTTCAGAGAGTAACAAAGAACTAAAGTGATAATTAGTTTAGTTTATAAAGTGATTATTTTAGTTTGATTGTGATGAAAGCTATTAGCTTATAGAATCACTTTTGGATCTTTTTTCTTGAACCAGTCATTATGAAGCAATGCATTTTTTTAAGTGTAAAGTTTCTTACCCAAGGAAGTAATGGGTTGACTCAGTACCTAACTTATAATATCTGTCATTTTTACGGTTCCGATTGGAATATCCGTCCTGAGGGTACTACGGTCATGGGCAGGTATGTGAGGGACAGATATTCCGATCCAAACTTCAAACATGTGTCAGACATTTTTTCTTGCATATTCTGCCATATTCTTTCATATTTAAAATGGTTTACCTCTATAAAATATTTTGTTCATGGAAATTAATGTCATTTCAGCCATAATTACATGTATTTTCTTATGATAGCCTATGAATTTACAACTTTAATAACAACGATGTCATCTTAAGCAGATATTTCCCTTCTAAAATGCGCCAAATTGACGTTATTTACACATGGTTCATTCATAAAATGCGCTAAAATGAAGTTGTTGTATTGCACGCAACTTATCTGGCACCCCACATGGCAGATGAAATTTGAGACATCGGGAAAACTAACAGAATCGCCAGTCTGCTATGCAAGAAAGTATTTGAACCCATGTGGCCAGCAATTCTTAAATTATAAGTCTGATGTGTTAATTACTTGACTACTTTCCACCGAATATTATTATATCATTGCTTACATTTGTATTATGTGTGTCTCATTTAGTGTTAATAGTCACTGTGGCTTGAAAACATTTTGTCTTTAAACCTAGGGACATAATATTACATAATAAAAAGATGTTTTCCGAACTAATTTTTATTTGTTGCAATTCATGCTGTGTTAAAACATATTCAAGAACTATGTTATGTTTTCACTATAGTATAATTTGTATTATTCTGTCAATTTTCAGGATGTCGTACGAGGATTTCTGCCACTACTTTACCAGCATGGACATCTGTCATATGATCAACATGTCATTTTTCTCCTTCAAGAAAACTTGGCGGGAAGGGAAAGTGAGCGGCACCTGGAAGAGACCAGATCGGGCTGGCGGCTGCGGGAACCACTCTACATTCCTGAATAATCCTCAGGTGAATTAATTAACTATGCTTTTATTCATGTTACGTTTAGTGGTATGCTGTTGATCAGTTAACAGTAATTATAAGGTTACATGTTGGGTTATTTAAAATAGGTAGGGAATAATTTGTTAAACATATTTATTCTAGATTGATAAAAAATTTTCAGTGCATATTCGATTCCAAAGAACAAACATGTAATTACAGAAAAACAACCAGAAGAAATCTTTAGTTTTGTACTGAACCTATTGGACATAAATAAAGAAGTTAAAAATGATATCAAGATGTCTTTAAAGAATCATTGTATATTTTTATTGTATTATTTTAACATATACATAGGCATCACAGGTTTCAGAAGTTGAACAACAGAATAAATATGATGTTTTTACAATATATAGTTGATATAACAGAGGTAAACGTTGTAAATGAAAATATGAAACTTAAGAAATATTTTTATTTTTTTGACATGTAAATGCACATTTTAGGCATCACAACTTGAATAAAGAGGGGAGCATGCTATTTTTAAAACAACAGGATAAATATGTTATTATATAACAGTACATATGAGGATAAATATATTCTTATATTACAGAAGAACAACAGGAATAATATGTTCTTATATTACTGTGGGCAACAGGATAGATATGTTCTTATATTACCGAAGAAGAACAGGATTAATATGTTCTTATATTGCAATGAACAACAGGATAAAGATATTCTTATATTACAGAAGAACAACAAGATTAATATGCTCTTGTATTACTGTAGAGCAACAGGATAAATATGTTCTTATATGACTAAAGAACAACAGGATAAATATGTTCTTATATTACAGTAAAACAACAGGATAACTATGATATTATATTGCAGTACATAAGAGGATAAATATGTTCTTATATTTCTAAAAAAACAACAGGATAAATATGTTCTTATATTTTGTAAGAAAAACAGGATAAATATGATATTTCACTACAGTAAGACAACCGGATATGTATATTACTATAAGCAACCGTATAAATATGTCCTTATATTTCAGAAAAACAACATGATAAATATATTCTCATATAACAGTAGAACGACATAATATGATAGATATGCTGCTATATTTCAAAAGAACAACATAATAAATATGTTCTCATATTGCGGTAGAACAATAGGATAAATATTTTCCTATCTTACAGTATATATTTGACATCACGGAGGACGAAGAGGAAATCATGGCGTCTTTAGAACAACAGGATAAGCGTGTAGATAAAGGGAAGGATAATTATACCATTGGATTTACTATATTGCGGGTATGTTCAGTATTAAACTGATTTCATTTCAATGATTCTTTAAAAAAAAAATTCAGATTGTTAAAGGAACTCCACTGAGTTTTTTTTGTCTTGAATGTACTGGAAATATTTTTTCAAGACGTGTTTACTATTTGTAGATCTGAATTAGTAACTTACATGTACAGGTAAGTGCAAAATTTCCTATCATTCCATTACTGTTTTCTTTTAATAATTATTTCAACTAAGCAAAAAAAATCCATAAAATGAAAAGTATTGAAATGGTTTTTACTCATACTGGGCTAAAAAATGTGCAAAATTTGATTTCCAATGTAATTGTGAGTTTATTTTTTTTAATCTTTCGCAGATATTTCCATTTTAAGTGCATCCCTTGATCTATGCAAGAATTTCAAATTTTATGTTCTTAGGCATTTTGACCTCAGCAGAGTGCCTTAAAATAGTGTAATTTTCATTCATGCCAAAAGAGGCACTATAGCTGAGTCCAATATAGGTTTCGCAGCTGTGTACAATGTATAATGATCTCCTTATTTCACACTACCAAATTTTAAGAATAAAATATATCAGATTAGATAAAACACATGACAGTCAAAGTAAAATATGAAATATGTCAGTTCAATATCAGTCTACAGTGTGACTACACTTTATCATTAAAGTACTTTCATTGCATACAACATACAATCACAGTGATAAGGTGCATGATGATACAGAAAGTGATATAACTTGTACAAGAGAAATTAATGATGACGACAGCGTAACTTAAAATACAATATGGATATGATATGATTTTTTTTGGACTCTGAAAATGAAAAAAAAATATGGCTGAATTGGTAACATTGGATCCAATAATGATTTATATTGGAAAGTCACATGGTAGAAATTCTGGAAGTTCATTAGTTACAGTGTTGAAGGAGTGAAATGGATATTTTAAATTTTGTCCTCCACAGCTATAACAAATAGTTTATAAGAGAATTTGATGTTCACTTATGAACAACAGGATATTGTAAAACAGGTGCATGTATACATATTATGTTCGCCCTGGCTGGTTTATGAAAATCTAGATTTCTTTAAAATTTTATTTGAAAAATAAAAACAGGGAGTGTCTTAAAAAACACAGCTTCAATTAAAAATTGTTTTTTGTTAATTTTAGGCTGATTTGAACCGGAAGTATCGCATGCATGACAGGATGGAGCGTGTTTCTTCCGGACCATTTGTGCTTTCAAGAAGTGTATTCAACCGTATGAAGTTGACGAGAGGTCGTTATTGTGTTATTCCTTCAACGTTTGACCCTGGACAAACTGGAGACTATGTATTGAGACTGTATGCCAGTAACAACTTAAATTTGATGTAAGTTCACCGTTACATTACCAAAGACAGTGGTATCTTCTGGTTTGAAATTTGGTGTTGGCTGCATTATTTGCTACTTCCTGTACGAAATTTTGGCACGGATTCTGGGCGTAAATGGCACGGAATTGGGATGGAATCATTGCTTTCTGGGCGGACTAAGCACGGAAAAGCAAATTCCATGTCAGTCCGCCCCACACGGAAATTATTTCTGGGCGTAAAACAAGAACCATTCCGGGCGGAATTTTATTACGGGCGGAATTTTGTACTTGTACATTTTATCTTGGATGGAATTTCAAACTTAACTTTTTCTTGAGATAGAATGGGCGGAATTCAGAACTTTGAATTTTCTGTCCGGCCAAATTTCAATCTTAGTTAAATTTGAGGTGGAATTTTTTTACACTTAGAATTTTTTGTTTGGAAATTTTCACTGAAATTACTTCATTAAATCAGTACACAAGAATGAAAATTCAACAATTAAAAGATAATTGGTGAAATAATCGAAGTGTTATTTATATCTGTTATTTAAACAGATTTTGTCAAACATTATTAATTTTCAAAAGAGCTAAAATCTAATGCAAAATTTTATTTAATTTTCTATATCACATAGCTTATTACATTACTAAAGATACTGAAGTAAAATGTAAATTGTATGCTATTTAATTAAATTACTACATATCTAAATACATGAGTAATTCTTCCCTGCAGTGTGTATCTATAGATTTTTAATTTCTTGGTAGCATTAAAGCAATTAATTGTTAAATAATTTAAGAATGATATTTTAAACTTTAATTTATGTTTTAAATGCCATATAAAATAGTACATAATCTACTAGCAAGTTTGTTTGGAAATTTGTAGACATACATCTAGATTATTTACACTTTACTCTGCCACTTATTTTATTATGTTACAATAAACACATATACTAGTATATCAATTATTGCCATTTAGTTTATGATTGTGTACAATAAACACATATATAATCATTATTGCCCATTATATACATGCACAATTAATGTGTTAAATATAATAACCACTGTGTGCTTGATAATTTCTTAAAAGTCAGGATAAATAAATACTACAGACATTAAGGTAAAGATCAGATAAGACTAATGATAAACACTTGTGTTTCCCTCTATCTGATGCATGACTAATTTTCCTGATGGGGCATTCTGGTATACTGACCAGACTGTTCCATGTGATTATTAAGGTAGTCTGAGCAGTATACATTTCAAAACAATCAGTTAAGAAGGTAATTGACACTTTGATTCTCTTTCAAAAACTTATTATGATTTTCAAATTCTACATTTACTTATCATTTGATATGTTTTTACACTCAATAAATGTAAAAATAAGATGGTGGCACTGTTTTGATATTTTTGGATAATCCCTGTTTCACATAATGATGGACCTGTCCGTCCAGTTAAACTGTTGAACAATTTGAAATCTCAGATATATGGGTCAGCTGCTTATTGAATGCCACCACAAAGGGTCTTGCAAAATTTTGGAGATTACATCTTGTTTTTGAATGTTGTGTACATATTTTGGAATTTTCAAAGAAAACATTTATCTAAATGTGACAAGACTGTGGAAATGTTTGGTTGTTGTAAATGAACTAAGAGTGAACTGAGGGAGGAAGATTATACAAAAGAATCATAGTAAAAAGTTTCAGGTAAACAACTTTTAGATACATTTATGCAAGAAAAAGGTTATTATAAACAATCAAAATATATTGTGGCAGTAAGCAAAAATTGTTTCTATAAAATAAGGTTGATAATTATAAAGTAATGTTGATAAAACTTATAATTATTCAAACTACATTTACATGCTGTGAATAATTATCTGTTTATTAAATCTAGATGTATTACCAAAAGTATTTGTTTAAAGTTCATGGTCCATAGACTGGCCTCTGAGCTTATGTTTTACAGTGCTAAATTTCTATAAGATCTTACATGTTATAATATACATACAATTTAAATTATGAGAATATATAATTGCAGACTGGGCCATTGCAGACTGTGAAAATTTGCCAACTTAGTGTTTATAGTATCAGCAATATTTCACTACCTTGGAGTCTGAAAAGGTAATTACATGTATTTTTAAATATCTGAACAAACCATTTTTAGAGACTACAATTGTTTCCCAGATAATGTAAAATCATTATTAATTTTGACATCAAAAGTGTAATTACTAAAGTACTCATAATGGGCAATTTTTTACATCATTTGCTTACTGTGAAATGATGTTGCTATAGTATTTTTGAAACTGCATTTGCTTGAGTATGAGTGTTTTAACATCCCAGATGAAATATTATAATGGAACACAATTATATTTTACCATAGAACAGAATTTGTTTCCATTCTTTTTAACCCATTGCTTCATGAGCATTTTGTGAAAAATGGCTGTTTTCATTGAAAAGTCTCCCGTTACAAGTTCAAATTGCTATAATACTATAAAAACGGCTTCAACACTAATCAAACTTGGCACAAATGTTGACTGGACCATTGTCCTTGCAACAACATGCTCAGACTTAAATTTTCTGTTACCATGGCAACGAGGATACATCTCAAAATTGCCAAAAATCACTATTTTGCGTTGATTTTTTTCCATCAAAATTGATTTCAAAGTGCTGCAACTTATCAATGGATTGAGATAGAGTCAAATGCTTTTCAGCGTTGGTTACACGTTACCTTATGATCAATCTGGGGTCATTTACAGCTTCTCACAAGTCCAAAATTTTCTTGGCGATGAGGGGGACTCCGCCCCCCTTCAAACCCCCCAAAACAGAAGGGGGCACATCCCCCTTCTGGCAACCCCCTGATGTATCTTTTGGTTGGGGGGCCGCGCCGAAAAAGAGGTCAATTTTTTTAACAACATTTCTCAAACAAAAACAAGTGTTTGGGGCCTAAATAAGGCATTTTTTCATCATTTGAGACAACAAAAAGGGGGGGGGGGGTGAAAAAGGCGTTAAAAGGCGTGTATATGAAGTAATGGGTTAACTGAAAATTATGAAAATACTTGAAATTACCCTAAATCGCGTTTTTTTCATGTTTAAACATGGCCTGTCATATAAATTTGAAGAAAAAATTGTTGTTTTGTAGATTTTTTTATTTTTTCATTAACCCATTGCTTCATGAGCATTTTGTGAAAAATGGCTGTTTTCATTGAAAAGTCTCCCGTTACAAGTTCAAATTGCTATAATACTATAAAAACGGCTTCAACACTAATCAAACTTGGCACAAATGTTGACTGGACCATTGTCCTTGCAACAACATGCTCAGACTTAAATTTTCTGTTACCATGGCAACGAGGGGACATCTCAAAATTGCCAAAAATCACTATTTTGCGTTGATTTTTTTCCATCAAAATTGATTTCAAAGTGCTGCAACTTATCAATGGATTGAGATAGAGTCAAATGCTTTTCAGCGTTGGTTACACGTTACCTTATGATCAATCTGGGGTCATTTACAGCTTCTCACAAGTCCAAAATTTTCTTGGCGATGAGGGGGACTCCGCCCCCCTTCAAACCCCCCAAAACAGAAGGGGGCACATCCCCCTTCTGGCAACCCCCTGATGTATCTTTTGGTTGGGGGGCCGCGCCGAAAAAGAGGTCAATTTTTTTAACAACATTTCTCAAACAAAAACAAGTGTTTGGGGCCTAAATAAGGCATTTTTTCATCATTTGAGACAACAAAAAGGGGGGGGGGGGTGAAAAAGGCGTTAAAAGGCGTGTATATGAAGTAATGGGTTAACTGAAAATTATGAAAATACTTGAAATTACCCTAAATCGCGTTTTTTCATGTTTAAACATGGCCTGTCATATAAATTTGAAGAAAAATTGTTGTTTTGTAGATTTTTTTATTTTTTTCATTAACCCATTGCTTCATGAGCATTTTGTGAAAAATGGCTGTTTTCATTGAAAAGTCTCCCGTTACAAGTTCAAATTGCTATAATACTATAAAAACGGCTTCAACACTAATCAAACTTGGCACAAATGTTGACTGGACCATTGTCCTTGCAACAACATGCTCAGACTTAAATTTTCTGTTACCATGGCAACGAGGGGACATCTCAAAATTGCCAAAAATCACTATTTTGCGTTGATTTTTTCCATCAAAATTGATTTCAAAGTGCTGCAACTTATCAATGGATTGAGATAGAGTCAAATGCTTTTCAGCGTTGGTTACACGTTACCTTATGATCAATCTGGGGTCATTTACAGCTTCTCACAAGTCCAAAATTTTCTTGGCGATGAGGGGGACTCCGCCCCCCTTCAAACCCCCCAAAAAACTTCTGGCAACCCCCTGATGTATCTTTTGGTTGGGGGGCCGCGCCGAAAAAGAGGTCAATTTTTTTAACAACATTTCTCAAACAAAAACAAGTGTTTGGGGCCTAAATAAGGCATTTTTTCATCATTTGAGACAACAAAAAGGGGGGGGGGTGAAAAAGGCGTTAAAAGGCGTGTATATGAAGTAATGGGTTAAATCAATTGTAATTTTTGTCCTTGAAGGTGAACGCAACTACAAGATGTGCCACTAGGAAACACTTGCACAGGACGTTAGCTGACATAATGAGGAAAAATTGTGGTTTTGATAATCAGTTTGAAAGAAAGTTTTGGTTTGTGACAGACAACATAATAGTTGAAATCAAGGTGATCAAAGAAAGCAGCAGTACCTACAAAAGTCATGTACAGATACTTGCACAATAAAAAAGCTGTTTGTGACACTTGAAGTTAATGTAGGATGTATTCTGTAGCTAGACAAAAAGGATATCTTTTATTTGTGAAGAAAAACAAACTGTGATAATTTTCATATCTTAACTTGGATTATTGAAATACAATTAGATGTGATTTTAAGAGAATAATCATATAAACATACATGTATGTTTACAGTTACTCATAAGCTTATAGAGAAGTTTACTACATGAATATTGAATTAATTATTACATATAAACTATAATTTTAGATGCATATCTTTAATTAAGATAGTCTAAATACAATTGTTTAGCCAGTCATTTAATTATCAATGGTCCAAAGTACATGACAAAATGGTCATCATTAATTAAATTAAATATAATAAAAAAACAACTGTTTATGGAATTTTGCTCTGATTATTCCATGCCAAAATTCCGTGCCAAAATTCCGTGCTAAGATTCCGTGCTCAGATTCCGTGCCAGTTTTCCGCACGGACATTTTTCCTGCTCATTTACATATTTCGTGCCAAATTCCGTGCCATTTCCACCCAGAATCCGTGCCAATAGTTCCGTGCCTAAAATTCCGTTCAAAATTCCGCACGGAATTTACTCCTGCTCATTTACATATTTCGTGCCAAATTCCGTGCCATTTCCGCCCAGAATCCGCCCGTAAAATGAACCCTTATCATATACTGTAAATTTTAAAGGAATTTTAACTTTCTGGGCGTAATCCGTGCCAATATTCCGCCCCAATTCCGGGCGTAACATTTCGTACAGGTTTTTATGCCCTCGCACACCAGGGGCATATATATTTGCTCCATGCCTTCTGCTGTCTATTTGTACATATATCATGAAAATTCTTAACTTTTCATCTTTACTTTAATGAGATGCTTCATGAAAATTATTGGACAAGTAATAATAGAGCTATGGCCCTTGTCTGAACCAGTTTAGGCATTAGTATGAGATGTTGTACATGTTTGTTTAAGGTTATACAAGGTATATTGGACCAGTTACACCAAAGTCTTTAAGGTTTTCTCCTAATAATACAAAGCTCTATTAAAGTGAGTGACACATTGTTGGATACCCATGGTTGATTAACATGTATTAAAGTCGAGGGTAAAATGAATTGATTTGTGTCAATTACAGCAACAGGTGCGTAAAATATTGACCAATGAAATTGCATTTAACAAAATTTATATTCTTCACCAGGGAGGGTAAAAACTATGAGTAACTGTAAATTTTATATGCTTTTTTTGCTGGAAATTGTTCACAATTTAATTATTGAACTTTTCACAGTTGAATTTAATTGTTTGCCGCAATTTTGTCTTTAATACTGCCATGTATAGAACAGACGTTGTGATTGATTTTATTCGGAGGCAATCAATGAAAAGGCTGTCTTTGACACACCTGTAATGGACTGGATATCAGCCAAAAAAAAAATGTAAATGACTCAGCCAGAGTATCCAATGATATAAGTGAAATAAATAGCCGTCTATTTATAAATCAAAGTTTCCTAGGACAGTAAAAAATGCTTTAATTAATCTGTCAAAATATCGTATAACCACCAACTACCCTGTAAAAGACAATTCAAAAAAGAATTTTGATTTTTTCAGTGAACTTATACATGATGAGCCACAACCAGGTTCTTGTTGTGGTTTTGGTATGAAGAGATCAAAGATTGCAGCCACTCAAATAACACTAGTGAAAGCAGATGGACTTGAGGCTCAAGACAAAGGTTCTAGTAAGTACAGCTGACATAACTTTTCCTGGCTAGGCTTTCACTTACGTACTGGTTACATTGTTACTCTTACAAGTTTTGTCAAGTTGTGTGATACCAAATCCAAACAAGCTAAACATTAATTTGTAATATCTTATTGAGTGAAAACTTTAAAATGTCTCAGAGGGCTTACTTTCCAGTGATTGTGTACTTGGTTAAAACATATTTATTTAAGCTGGATTGTGAAACAAGTTCTTGCAACTTTATTAATCACTTTTGAGTCTGCTTCCTCGAACCATTCAGTAATGGTGTCATATGAAGAAACATGGTTGTGACCCAATTAGGGCTCATACCTGCAATTACAAGTACAATGTCAGTGGTTTTCTTATCTTTAAAAAATGTTTTACTTCAAGATATAAAGATTAAAAGTCAACATAATTATGACCTTATCTTTTGTATCATGACATACCATGTGAGACATATCTCTTTCAGCTGCAGACCCATACTGTGTTGTGAAATATGAGGGTAGAACTTTACAGAATTACCACAAGGAAGACACATTAAACCCTGAATGGAATGATCGTTTCACACTATACAGAAAGAAACCTAACCAGGATGTTATTATTGAGGTAAATTTATGTATTCATTGCTTTTAACCCTTAAAGCTACATGCCTCCAGATGAGCCAAAATATTTCAAGACTATAAATCTTGAGAAAAATGACATTGATTTTAAGAAAGGTACAAAGATTCAAGTAATAGTTTATAATTATGTTATGTGCAATAAATGACTGCAGTATTCATCACTATATTTCTACTGTGTGACTAACACAGTTAGGGGTCATTACTGCATATTTATACCCTTGCACAACAAAGTTGTAAGGGGGGTATACTGGAATCAGGTTGTCCGTCCGGCCTGCCGTCGGTTTTCCTTGTCCGCCCAATAACTTAAGATTCCTTGCCCCACAGTCTTCAAATTGATTTTGAGGTCATTTGATCCAAGTACAAGGTCACGGGGGCAAAGCTTGTCCGCTCAATTGCTTTAGAATGCTTTGATCAACTGTCTTCATATTTGGTATTGCGGTTGGTTATTACCAGTAGATAACCCCTATTGATTCTGAGGTCAAAGGTCAAGGTCAGAAGAGCCTTGACTTAAAAAAGCTTGTCCCCCCCAATAACTTAAGAATCCTTTGACTCACAGTCTTCACATTTGGCATGGTGGTTAGTAATGACCATTAGATGACCTGAATTGATTTTGAAGTCACTGGATTATAGGTCAAGGTCACAAGGGCTTTGACTTCAAAAAGATTGTACGCCCAATAGCATATGAATCCTTTGACCCACAGTCTTCCTATTTGGCAATTACCAATTTCTCCACTATTGACTGACTACTCATTCCATATAATTTTGTCCTTATCAGTCCTGAGAGACAGGTGACCATTAGACTCAAAGTCTAGGATCAATAATTATTGTCATGGAGAAATTACACCTCATCCGAGGATCAAACCAGAGAGGCCTGAATGATTTCTAATTCGATGTTGTCCCCTTTGAGCTTAGTGGTCAGCAAGCACACAATTGGTTAAAACCAATAGACCAATTTGTAACATGAACCGCCTCCATGGACGAGGGGTTAGAGTCGATGACTTCTAATACAGTTACCTCTCTGGCATGGGTTCGATCCCTGGAATATGCTTTGGTAGTTTAGTGCGAAGGAAGGTAGTCTAGTACTTGTGTAACTCTCCAGGAACAATGGTTAGGAAACTACCCGCCTATATGACTGAAATACTGTTGGGAAAAGGCGTAAAATGAAACAAACAAACAAAATTTGTAACATACAAAATTACAATTTCCTTTTAACAGGTTTGGAACCACAACATATTTAAGGATCAGTTTATGGGCTTCGCCACACTTCCCATGGACAACCCTCACCAGTATACAGGTGGCAACATCATCAAGAGATATAACCTCGCAGCCAAAGGTAAAGAAGGGCTAATCTCCAAACCAGGTGGTCTCTGGCTCAAAGTCTTTCACACAGATAACATGTCCATTGTGTAAAAATTCAACAATCTGTGATATTTGGAGACCCAATAGACTGTTGGTTCAGCATTTGTTAATTTGATAACTTCATTTTTGAAATTGGACAATTCAGCATTTTTAATATCCTACAACTCGGCACCCTTAAAATTTGGTGATTTGATATCCATTTCGGGAAACGGACAAAAGCCCTCCCGGACAAAAGCCCTCTCGTACAAAAAATGACAAGGGGGACAAAAGCCCTCCCGTGAAATTGACAGGGCGGACAAAAGCCCTCCCTTGAAAATGACAGGGCGGACAAAAGCCCTCTCGTGAAGTTAACAAGGCGGACAAAAGCCCCCCCGTAACAAAATATATAGATCTATGTATGTTACATACCTGTGGGTTTTTTCATTTTTTCAACGCACTTAAGATATTAAATTTGTAACATATATATTTGTTGTTGTTTTCTATTGATCTAAGTATTTTTATGAGCTAGAACCACCTTTAATTTAAAATATACCTTTCAGAAATTTTAACGAGGTAATATTTTCACACGAATGACGTTTAAAACAAAGTCACTTTATAAAGTAATTGACTCATTACAAGGCACTTGGACTTTTAATTTTAGTTCATTTTAGCTTCTTTTCATCATTTAATACTCTGTTAGTCTAAATTTCTCATGTGAGTAATTCTTCATTTTAACGTGAATAATTATGCACTTACAGATTTTAGTACTTATTATTCAGATGTCAATCAGGAATGTACTCAAGCTCATACAAACACTCTTATGCCAATGGAAAAGAAAAATATTCATGATTACAATTTTAATATGTGGAGTGCATTGAATTTTCACAATATCATTTTCACGGGAGGGCTTTTGTCTGCCCTGTTAATTTCATGGGAGAGCTTTTGTCCGCCTTGTCATTTTCACGGGAGGGCTTTTGTCCACCTTGTTAATTTTGTACGGGAGGGGTTTTGTCCGGGAGGGCTTTTGTCCTACACTCATCCATTTCAGCACATTTTGATTTTTGATGATATTGATTGATGCATGTGCTCTGATCTGAAAACAGATAATATAGACATCAAAAATCAAGAAAAAAATAGTTTTGATAAGTTAATTATTATATCATAACATATTTTTATGAATTTATGTGACAATTTTGTTTCTTCTTAAACATTTTTCATGTTTATGTTACAATATAATCTCTGCAGAGAAACATCCATTGGGAGACAATGTGTTTAGAGGTATTCTAGTAAGGTTAATTCTAGTAGACTGAGATTTGACTACAAGAGGAAATGTTACTGTTGTTGTAACAAGGTAATTGTTCATCAGAGGGTCACTCTTCAGAGATTACAATTTTTAATAATTACAATAGAGTTGCATTTATTAAGATATATGTTTGCATGATGTTTGTTGATTGTTCTGTTTTTACAAGTATCAGAATTTGTAATGAAAAGTCAGCAATTTTATACTCACAAAATAGATTTATATGTTGATTGTTTTATTTTTATAGGTATAGAATTTGTAACATAAAGTTAGCAATTTTATTCCCATAAAAAAGATATATATGTTGCTTGTTCTTTTTCTTTAAGTATCAGAATTTTTAGAAAAAATTAGCAATTTTACACCCAGAATTGCAACATTTTATTGTTTAGTGTCAATTATTCAATGCCTTATACTTTAACTATGCAACAATTCTCTGCTCATAGTCATAAATGTGACCATTTTATCAGCATGTTTATAAAAATAAAAGCATAAGGGTACGCATGTGTGAAAGTTACGCAATGAGGTCAAAGATATCATCATCAAGTCTTGAGTTATACATTTATACATATCTAAAAAAAATGCTAATTCAATAAAATATTTCCAAATTCAGAGCTGTCTTTTACTTCACTTTAATCATTATTACGCCATGTTTGGTGTTCTACACAAAAATAAATGTAAATTTGTTCACCTTTAAGCATGTCATAGATTACTATCATTTTGTCATCTCTCTTTATTTGTATGTATGCAGACCCTTATCTTAGCATGGGCTCAAATATCAAATAAAGGCTGTTTACATATTAATTGTTGTAATTGCCCTAGCACTATTTCTACAAGAATGCACCGTTTTTTTAGCTTGACTATTCAAAGATGTTCACCCCTATGTTAATGCCACACTTTGGTAAGTTGGTAACCAGAAAACTACTGAAAGTTAGTTCACATTTGTGTTCTGTAATTATCTAGCATGATGGGCACAGATCCCATAATGCTGCTTTTTACAGAGTTATGCCCCTTTCCTTACTGACGAGCACTTAAAATAGTCGAGCTGCTCTCCTTTGGACCGCTCTTGTTTTATGTAATACTTTCGTATATTGTAATTAGGATTTTATCTGATATATATAATTATCCAGTTGTGCCAATAGAATTACATGTATTTTATGACTAGTTATTTTCTAATATTGTTGTTATATCAATGATTTATTTGTCAGATGTATAATAAAACTTAAAGAACAAATAGCAATGCTCAAAATATAGTGAGAAATATCTCACTAACCATTGATTCTTTAATCATATCTCATATTGCCAATTATATATCAGTTATTGTTCCTCTACAGTTATCTCTGTGTTATAGAATATTGATGCTCTGTTATACTGCTGAAGTTATAACTATTAAAGGGTCAATGTTCTATAACTGTGATTGAATTTATGTTATAACTGTAAAATATTGATGCTATAACTGTTATAGAATTGATGTGATATCTGTTATAGAACTGACAATGTAACTATCTAAATTAATTTTATGACTATTTTTATTGTTAAGAATTGACTGTGCAGCTGTCTGCAAAATTGATATTTTAATTGTTAAGAATTGACACTGTAACTCAAATGATATTTTAATTGTTAAGAATTGACACTGTAACTCAAATGATATTTTTATTGTCAAGAATTGACACTCTAACTCAATTGATATTTTAGTTGTTAAGAATTGACACTCTAACTCAAATGATATTTTATTTGTTAAGAATTGACACTATAACTCAAATGATATTTTAATTGTCAAGGATTGACACTGTAACTCAAATGATATTTTAATTGTTAAGAATTGACACTGTAACTCAAATGATATTTTAATTGTTAAGAATTGACACTGTAACTCAATTGATATTTTAATTGTTAAGAATTGACACTGTATCTCAATTAATATTATAGTTGTTAAGAATTGACACTCTAACTCAAATGATATTTTAATTGTTAAGAATTGACACTATAACTCAAATGATATTTTAATTGTTAAGAATTGACACTGTAACTCAAATGATATTTAAACTATCACAAAATTAATGCTATAACTGAATAGAAGTTATACTATAAATGTTATTGAATAAATATATTGTTGAATTCATGCTTTAACTGTATAGAATTGACACTGATGTTTCATAACTATTAAAAAATGATACTATAACTAACTAGAATTGATGTTATATTTGTTATAAACTGGAACTGTAACAATTTAGTCTTGTTGGTGTTTAAGGGAATATTATATTTTGTTTTCAGTAATAATTATATAGTTCAAGCATGTTAGGTAAGAGATACTTTTGTTAAAATTTTCACAAGACTTGGCCGTAAGAATAAGAAAACAGTTTCAAAGTTTTGTGTCATAGTCACTAAGAATAGCTATAATGTATAAAGACTTTAAAGGGAATCCACTTCGGGTGTTTTTTTGTTGTTTTTTTTGACAAATGGGGAAGGAAATTTATTTCCGAGATTTGATAAAGGTTCGGACCAGTAATTTTTGCTTTTTACTGAAATCGGGTTAAAAATCCACAAAAAAAATTTAAACTCAATTTTACTAGTAACTTTACTATCTCTTGCAGTTTTTTCCCTTTTAGTTTCATTGATCTGTGTTAATTTTTTTTTTAGGCTTTTTTTTCCCCAAGTGGTCTCCCTTTTTCTTAAAAAATCAGGGGAAGTTTTTAAACCTTTTTTAAACATGAAAAAAAAATGTTTCTTCTTTTTTAAAAAAATTGCAAAAATTTTTCTGTAATTTAATATAACCTTTTTACTGGGGAAGTATAAATTATCAAATTTTTTTCCCTTTAGCCAAAATTTTTTTCAATTCAAATTTGAGAAAAATGAATAACGATTTTAAGGAAAGAAAAAACGATTGAAGATTCATGTAATAGTTTACATGTTATATTTGATTCATTACTGATTTTACAGTATTTATGACCATGTTGCTACTGCATCACTAACACAGTTAGGGCTATTTCTGCATATTTTGACCTCTATGTTAATTTACATGGATTGTAAGTGCTGTTGTTGCAATGTGTAAATTACATGCTCTGTTCACTTCACATTATTTTACTCTTAAAAAACGATTTCAAAATCTTCAGAAGTCTGGAGGCATGCTGTTAATTTTCACTTTCATAATTGAAGATGTATTTTTTCACATTTAAAATATGTCATAAGATAAAAAAAATTAAAACAAAAATGCCTCAGTCCCTTAAAAAGCTGATATACATGAATAATATATATTTTTATTTTTGTAATACTTTGATAATTAAATGCATGTTAATTTTGCTTAGTTTTAGTATCTAGATTGAAAAAAAAAAACATAATTGCTTTTTACATTTATTTACATGTACATGTATTTGTTAATCATAATTTATTGCTTTTTACATTTATTTATTTGTAAACATCAGTCATTTTCAGTCCGACTATATAAAGAATAGGGAGAGCTTTAAATGTACTCAGATAGGGAGATCAAGCTTTAAATGTACTCATATAGGGAGAGCTTTTAATGTACTCGGATAGGGAGAGCTTTAAATGTACTCTGATAGGGAGAGCTTTAAATGTACTCAGATAGGGAGAGCTTTAAATGTACTCAGATAGGGAGAGCTTTAAATGTACTCAAATACGGAGAGCTTTAAATGTACTCGGATAGGGAGAGCTTTAAATGTACTCGGATAAGGAGAGCTTTAAATGTACTCCGATAGGGAGAGCTTTAAATGTACTCAGTCGGCGTTGTCATCGCCATCACACTTTGGTTGAGTTTTTACTATGATATGGTTTGAATCTTATCACACATATGTTCTCTGTGATTATTTAACATGATGGGCAATAACTCTCAGTTACGTTTTTCAGAGTTTTTCCCCTTATCTTACTTTCAAGCACTGAGAAAGTTCAAGCGTGCTGTCTTAC